AAAGTAGTTTCGCTTTCACAACGAAACACACAGCGTCTTCACGCCATGGCGGCAGCAACAACAATACTACAGTGAGAATAAAAGTTACGCCTTCTTTCTTTGCGTGAACATTTGGGCGGCGTTATGCAAATCTTCCCACATAGTGACGTAGATATGTGGGGAAGTGTTAGAACGAGCCGTTTTAGGTAGGTGAGGTTTACTCTTAACTTTTATAAAGAATATCTCTTTGGATTTGAGACTTTAGTCTTTACAACTTCACAGATCTCTTTTATGCACCAAGAGCTTGCAACACTCCAAAGAGAAAGGAAAAATTGAAATCGCATCATATGACCCCTTTAAAAGTCCAATTTGAGTGGACTCTCACGGTTTGTAACTGGTCACGCAGGTTGTAACAGCGGAGCAGCAGAGGGCGCTGTGTCACCTCACTGCCATTGTGAAGGGCTTCCTCATCAGACGACTGCTGAAAACAGAGAAAGTCAAACACCTGCGTCAAACCATACAAGTGAGAACACAATATAGTGTTCACATACATGCTAATTAAAGTCTTACGCGTTCTATCATCCTTACACGTGTGTATTTCCTCAGGACACGCAAGAGTTTATTCGTTCATTCAGCACTGGCGCTCCTCAGAGAAACGACTCTCTGTCAGAGCTGGATCTCTCTCTGCACGAGCGCGTCAGAGCTCAGGTGCCACGTTTGTAATGGTTTGATACTTCAAGAACAGTGTGTACAGCATCAGAACTGCAACTAAAACCTTCTGTTTTCTGTCCGTTTCTTTTCCAGTTACGTGCGGCCTTGTTTGACGTTCATGATATCTTCTTCACAACGACTCCAGAGGAGCGTCTGTCTCTGCTGCAACAAGACCGAGAGCTGCGCACCGAGAGAAAACTCCGAGAGATGGTAGCTATCAGGACAGACCTGCGATTAGGTTTCATATTTATTGGCTGACTTTCTTTCATTTTGGTCCGTTTTGATCCTTGGCCATTGTTGAAGTGTTTGTTTCCTTCCTATTTTGGAAAAGTGCAAAGTCATTTCCATATGAATGCACAGCTGTGCAGGTCAGTGTTTCTTTCCAACACACCTAGCCTACCGTTTTATTTGGCTTGCAGGAAAAAGCAAAAAGCCCCAAGGACAAGGTGATTTTGTCTGCTGCTACCCAGAAATCTCTTGATCGAAAGAAAAGGTGAGTGAGCATGATTAAAAATACTTGAATTTTATTAGCACAATACTGTTATGTTTTATGCATTTTTTAGTATTATAGACTAATAACTATAAGACTTTTTTTTGAGAGGCAAATGGTCATGTACAGGGTCCAAAATTGGTACCAAATAAACAAATTATTGGATAGTTGGATGTTTATTTATTTAAAAAAGCTGTTTATAAATGTATTTTTAAAAAGTGTATGTATATATATATATAATATCATGCTTGTGCCGCTATTCGATATATAAAATAATAAAGAAAAAAAGTACCAATGCATATTCCAGAATAAGCATTTTACGGCAGATTTCTTATTAAGAAATAAACACAACCACAACACTACAGTTTTCACAGCATGGCGCATCTCAAAGTACTGGCACATGATCTACATATACATAAACAATGCTTAAATGATCAGATATGTACCTTATCAAATGCTTCTCTCGTTCCTCGGTTCCGCCAGAATGGACGAATATTGGAAAATGACGAGAAAAATGAAAAATAATATTTAAGAAGACTTTCGAATAGCAAGGTCTGTTTTCTGACTCTCCACATTAACTAAGATATGACAGTTTCTGGGATTTTTGACAATTGGTGTCTTCTGTTCCCTATAAATAGCGCAGAGTGTGCCGGTAAAGCGGTGAGGGGATAGCTAATGGTTACTTGAACGGAAAGCCGCTGATTGGCCTCGGCCCGGAGTGACGTCAGGAGGCTGTGAATAAGGCTGGCTCGTGTGCTTTCAGGAACATGCAGAACACCGGAGGCTGTTCGGGGATCGTCATCAGTCCTGCAACGAGATGTGTCTGTGTGTTGTGTTGAAGGATCCTGCAGCCCAGTCAGGGCCAGAGCGCTCCCGTTTCAGGCCAGCAACTCCTGCGCCGTGGGTCAGTTCTTCACATTTTGCTGCCTTTGATCACGCCATCTCCTGCTCCTGCCATTTCCATTTTCTTTTATGCTGTTGTTGATGGAATTTGAAATTCAACTCCATCTGTGTTGGACGCTTACAATACTGGAAATGCCACGAAGCCTGCCAGAAGAGTCACCTGACATTTCAAATTGGCTGCTTTTATTTGTAAATGTATTTGGCAGGAACTCATGCAGTCATTTAGTCAAGTGAAGTGTGACATCACTGTATTATATTGCAAAGAATCACTGTGTGGAAATGAAACCTTGTATGTTCTATGGAATGTGCAACACCTCAAACTAATAAACTGCATTGAGTTTACATTGACTTTTCAGATCTAATAAACTAACTTTAAATGCAATATTGTATTAGAAAACATTCAAATAAATTTGTTTGTGTTTCAGCAGTTACAAGAAGACTCCAGAGGAGAGAGTTCAGCATTCTGAGAGGCTGAAGAAACAGCATTCACTGGGTTGACCTCATATAGTTATGAACGGAATATGAAAAATAATATTGTGCTAATCATACTTCTAAAAATACTCCCCTGCTAGCCTGCCATCTCATTAAATGATGGCTATTAAATGTCATTGATATCTAGTTATTCCCATTATTCTACTACATACTGCATATGAATATAGAATTAGATATTTGTTTGTTTCTTATGGGTTACAAAACTAATTATAATCCACATAGTTATACTAAATTACCCTTGTAGATATTATTACAAATTCTGTAAATGTGGGACTACCGGTTTTCCAAATAACAGAAGCCTGCATTGACAAAGAGAAAAGTTAATGCTGCTTTAATGCTATAAATTCATATCAAACTGTCAGTAATATTGACAGAATGTGAAATAGTAGAATAAGAATACATGTCTATGAAGGGTACAGGCATTTCCCCAGAAGTTAATAGATTGTATTTGATCAACTAGCGCTTCAACTGAATGTGTGTTGTTTTTAATCATAAAACTTGACTATTTATAACTAGAATCATATCAGTTGTTTATGAATGTATTTGCTCTTGCCTTGTATACTTAAGAAGCACTTGACACATTTGTGGTAAGAAATGAAACAATGAAATAAACAAGTTTATTTAATAAACAATGTGAATTCAGTGAATAAAGACACCAGTTTCAAATAGAAAGGCACATTTCAAACAATTACTTTAAAGAAAAATCATTTTCAAATCTGTAAAACAACCTTAGTGAATGTTTTCATGAACAATATGGTCATATGTGAAGTCATTCAATACAAAACACACAATATTAACAAAATAACCAAGCAAAGAAAGTTATTTTGTGCTGCCTTTGAGTTGATGGTTAAGAATCTATATTTTTAAATTACATATTATTTAATATAATAAAACTTCACTAATGATAAGGAAAAAAAACAAAAAACCCTTTAGTTCGGTGAGATTATCCATTCACAAATTTAGTGAATTTGTCTGTTCACATCTGCATAAAACACAGTAAAGAAAGCGTATCAAGTTCAAGTTCACTCCCAGCCGTCTTTGTTTGTGTATTTCTGAGAGGAAGAGCGTCTCATAAAGAGTGAATGTGCTGAAGGAGTTTATCGCAGTACTCAGGGCTGCGCTGTTTCTCTCTCACGGCCTCCGTTTGCTGCTGTAAGAGACCTCGATCAACCTCACTGGCCACCTTCAGAACCTCTGTGACAGAAAAAAAGACGAGATGTTTACATTTGGTTATTACATCAAAAGTCACTCATTTGGCATAGCAAAAATATAGCAGTGCCTTGGTGCAGTGGTAATGCAGTTTTAACTTCACCATCCCCATCCAATTAAAATGTTATAAAAAATTTCAGATTAAAACTTCATCAAAAAAAACACAGAAAAACAGTAATATTGTAAAATATTATTACAATTTAAACTAACTTTTTATTTGAATTGATTTAAAAATGTAATTTGTTTCTGTGATCAAAGCTGAATTTTCAGCATCATTACTCCAGTCTTCAGTGTCACATGACCCTTCAGAAATCATTCTAATATACTGCTCAAGAAACATGTCTGATTATTATCAATAGTGAAAAGAGTTGTGATGCCGGATATTTTTGTGGAAACTGTCATATACTTTTTTTTCAGGATTCTTTGATGAAAGTTCAAAATAATAACTGTCACTTTGTTCATTTTTTCTTCATAATTTTATGACCACTACACACACACACAGTGGTCAGTTTCATTATGAGCTGTCACTTTGATCTATCTATCTATCTATCTACAGTATATATATATGTACTGTATATTCACAGTTCATAATTCATAATTAAAATAATGACCACAATTAACTGGCCTATTGATATTCTCCCCTTCCATTAACTCTTGATAAATATGTGACCCTGGACCACAAAACCTGTCATAAGGGGAAATTTTTCGAAATTGAGATTTATACATCATCTGAAAGTTGAATAAATAATGTATGGTTTCTTAGGATAGGACAATATTTGGCCGAGATACAACTATTTGAAAATCTGGAATCTGAGGCTGCAAAAAAATCAAAATATTGAGAAAATCGCCTTTAAAGTTGTCCAAATGAAGTTCTTAGCAATGCATATTACTAATCGAAAATTAAGTTTTGATATATTTACGGTAGGAAATTTACAAAATATCTTCAAGGAACATGATCTTTACTTAATGTCCTAATGATTTTTTTGGCATAAAAGAAAAATCAATAATTTTGACCCATACAATGTATTTTTGGCTATTGCTACAAATATACCCCAGCGACTTAAGACTGCTTTTGTGCTCCAGGGTCACATATGATTATTTTGAATGTGATTATTACTCAGATGCAAAAGCATCCATTGTTTTACAGTTACAAATTATAAAAAAAGGAAAGAAAACCTTCCAAAGTCAGCTCACCATTTAGGAACAAAGAAAAGCCCATAAAGCTCAGTTGTGTTCTTTCAGCAGTTGTGACTTTGTTGTGGGTATTTGGTTTTATCCTGATTTGTTTGGTCGGGGGATTTACTTTTATCCGGTGCTTTATACGTTTGTAAGCGCACCAGAAAACAAGGTTTTCTTTGTGTAAAGATACGAGTGAATTTCCTCAGTAACTCAAGCACAGTGAGAGACTGCTGTTATTATAAGCTTAACCAAAGGAATGAGGGATTATGGGATATGGCAAGTGTGGTGTTATAATGGACATTAATCACATCTGAGGTGTCTTTGAAATACAAGACATGTTTAAGAGCAGACTGAAAAATAAAAAAGACAAGATGAGATTAAAAGGAGGAAAACAAGATCAGACACACGGTGCATCTAAAACTGCATACTGTCTGAGCAGGTGCTACATTTGAATTCCAGCTTACTTGGTAACTGTTAAAAAAGTAGACTTAAACTACTTCAGTCTGTGTGCATTGAATTTATTTAATACACGAGTTTCACAATTTGAGTTGAATTACTGAAATAAATGAACTTTTCCACGACATTCTAATTTATTGAGATGCACCTGTATATAGTATAGAATATGGGTAGTATGAATGAAATTCGGATGTATTACATCCGCTATGTTGTTACTGTCACCCGTGTGTCCATCGATTGCGCACTTCAGAATCTCACTGGGTCATCCGTGTACTTTTTGCCTACTGTTTTTACGAATACTATGAATTCGGACAAACTACTCGCCTCATATACTGTTTTTTGCATACTACATAGTAGGGAAGTGAGCGATTTCAGACGCAGGATCTGTTTTTTCCCCCCATGATGCCGAATATTGCACAAAATAAAACCCTTTGGTATAATACAAAGTAGGTCTGTCAAGTGATTCAAATTTTATTGTAATTAATTACATGATGTGCCAATAAATTAATCTAATTAATCATAAATTAATTGCACATCAATTTGGGCTTTTTTTATTTTTACCTCATATCTTGAATTGTTAAGGACATAATAATAATAATAATAATAATAATCACACCAAATTAACACGTTAAATCAACAGCACTAATACAAATGCACTGACTTCATATCAGGATCCTGGTTACCCTGTCAGGGCGTATTTTGCGATATCGACCGGATGACTGTACATTATGGCCTACTTACTATACATACTTTATAGGGGGGGGGGGGGTTTCAAAGCTTAATTAGGGGGTATGAAGGGTTTCTGAACAGTACTGGGTGTGCGAGTGCACTAGGACACATTGGCACAGGATTATGGGAAGGCGTTGACAGCCCATGACCCTGCTGGAGGCAGGCCAGTAGCAGAGGAGCGTGTGATGGATAGAGTGTAAAAATGCAGGATTAATGAGGCTCTTTGAAGTGAAGAACAGGGAGGATCAGAGAAGTGGACCGTAGACCATTAACACAGACCTGAATCACTTCCTTATGCAGCAGGAAGAGATTCATCTTACATCACAACAGTGTCAACACGAATATAACTGTCATCAGTCACAATTCAAGTCAAAACATCAGATTATTACAGAAATGAAATATCGCTGCCAAAAAAGTCCTTACCGAGGACTGATTCCTGGATTTTAGTGTCGGGGTCGTCCATGTAGAGCAGCAGCTGCTGGAAGAGGAAATCCAGGTGTGGGCGGCATGACTGAGTGTCATAGTTTTTCCCCAGAGATGACAACCACGTGCTCAGAGACTTCAGCGCTTCAACACGGACGTCTTCACTGCTGTCGTCCACACGCTTCAACAGCTCTGAACACACACAGACACACTCATGAAAACATCTACAAGCTCACAGACACCGCTGTAACACAGACACTGAATTCTGAAAGTGTGCAATAACAACAATTATTATACACACACAGATATGCTTTATTTAACCAGGAATCTGGTATTCATTTTTCAACAGAGAAACAGACAAAAATTCAATTCAATGCTAAATAAAATAAAAAATAAAATAAAACTGACTTTTTATAGGCTCTGTGCACTGTTGCATATTAATAAATGTATGGATAATTTGTGCAAGACACATAGACATGCTTTATTTCACCAGGATTTCAACAGAATTTTTTTATTTTACTGACTTTTTAGGGGCTCAGTGCACTGTTGTATATTAAGAAATATGGATAAATTATGACACATAGATATGCTGCTTTATTTAACAAGGGTAGTCGTATAACAATTTAAGAAGACTGAATAAAATAACATAAATAAAAACAAAACAAGACAAGACAAGATACGATTTTTAACATTGTTAGATGCATTTCAGTCTACCATTTTAAATAACATCTTTGATTGAAAAATAATGGTGTTATTTCCCCATTCACACAACTGAATAAAAATAGACTTTAGAGCAGATGCCCTGCTTAATTTGATACAATGAAAATACCGCTGTGAGCAATAGAAGTACAATTCATTCAACATGTGACCTTTTGACATCTACTGTTCACAAACCATGTTTTTGTCAATCGGACTGTCCGATAAGGACTGAATGATCCACACTGCACTTCCATTATCCAAACCTCATTTTCGTCTGTCACATTAAATATGCTGCTCTGAATCAGGTCTGTCTCTCGTCTTTCATAGTTTTACAGTATGTGTGATGAGTTGAGTCTACCTGGATAGATCTTGTTGAGTGAGTCAGCATTGAGCTGTTGTGTTGTGAGTTTCAGCAGTGAGTGAAGAGATCTGCAGGCCAGAAGACGAGCCAGTTTAGAGTCTTCCTCCAGCGCAGAGATCAGCTGAGTACTGAGAGTCTCCTCCACCGACAGAACCTGAAACACATCAACATCACATATATACACTAAATTATGTTGGAAACCTTTTCAGTAATATCACAGTCAAATTATAGAACTTAAATGCAAAATGCTGTTTCTTGCGGTATGTTATGTGTGTATTATTACCCGCTCCGCTGGGAAAGCTGCCCCGTGCAGGACAGCTAAGAGACAGCTGAGAGCAGCGGTCCTGACAGCCGCGGCAGATCGACCCGAGCGCCACACCAGATTAGGCAGCAACAAATCCTGCAGGACCATCTCCATGTATTCAGCAAACCTCCTACAGAGAGAAACGACACAGCAAATATGACGAACGAATGTCATGTGACCTGACCTGCTTTAAAATGACATTTTTTGCTTGAAGAAATTCCCTTTGGGGATTTCCAGTG